ATTTACACTTGGCGTAAGTTCTGATTTTCTTTTCTTTGGGCGAGCCTAGCTTGTTCTGGTAAGACTTCGGCTCGCCCTTGTTTTTGTTGTTGGCGAGCCCAATTTTTTGCTTTGCTTTGGGCGAGCCCAACCATTCTCTTTTTTTTTTTGTTGGCGAGCCCAATTTTTTGCTTTGCTTTGGGCGAGCCCAACCATTCTCTTTTTTTTTTGTTGGCGAGCCCAATTTTTTGCTTTGCTTTGGGCGAGCCCAACCATTCTCTTTTTTTTTTTGTTGGCGAGCCCAATTTATTGGCGACCAAAACTCGGAATGCGGGGCGGACTCGGCTCGTTTCATTAGAAATGGCAAGCTCAAATCGCTCTGTTAACATTGGCGAGCTCACTACATCGCCCTCTTGTTAAAGAAAGGCGAGCTTACCACGATTTGTCAATGCTGAAGAGTTCATCTCGACTTGTATAAGTAGGACGAGACGACGAGCTTTTCTTGACTTGTATAAGTAGGACGAGTCCAGCTTGTTTTGTTAAAGTTATTACATGCCGAAGTGATTGGCAAGCATTTTTATTCGGCTTGTCTTAATATAATATCTCGCCTTTCGTGACACTTCGTAAAAATTTTCATCTTAGCAAATATCAAAACTGTTTGTCACCAGTTCCCGAGATACGATGCCATCATTCATTGCTTCGAATGCMTATTCATGCTTGGTCCTCCCTCCTTTCTCTCATAATTTCATTTCCTCCAAACTCCAAAGGTAGAAAACTCTCTCTTTTCTCTCCCTTTTTATTTATTATTTATTCAGGTCTTCTAGGGTTACACCCATTACGTGCCGCGCCGCCGCGTCTCTTGTTTTCGTCGTTCTCCTAAGTTCTTCGTCGACGCCGTAGCCGTCTCTTCGTCTCTCTTCCGAAATTCTCTAATCGTTACCGCCGTCCGATCCAGCTTGTTGTGACGTCGTGGTGCCGAGTGAACTCCTTCTTGCCGCGGTGAAGATTGTATTGTGCCGAGCTCGTTCTGTTCGTTCTTCAAATTCATGCCGAGCTCGCTCCTTCGTCAGATCTAAACGATCATTGATTCGACATCCTTGTTATCTCCGCCGAGTTCAATCGCGGGAGTCTTGGTCGTGGCAACTCATCTTCTTTCGCCAAGGTGACTAATTCGTGATTCGATCGAGGTGAAGTGCAGAGATTTGAGGCCAATTTTGTCGATTTCTTATGCCGAGCTTGCTTTGAAGGTTAGCCGAGCCGAGCTATTTTGAAGAAGTCGAGAATTACTTTGCTGAGGTCGTTCTTTGCTGACCGTAATGTCTTCCGGAAGTTCGAAGCTTGATGCCGAGACCCAATCCTGAGTCGTGTCCTCTTGGCTTCGTCCTCATACCAAGGTTATCTCGGAAAAAGAAAAAGGAAATGAAAGTCCTGGTGATTCTGGCAACTCCGTAGCCAGTCTATCTAAGTCGAGAACAGATGTTGCCGAGCCTACTCCTTTCCTTGTGGACGAGTTCCGCCTTCTTAACGGGCCTCTTGAAGTGAAAACCGAGCCGACTGAGTTCGAAACTGCCGTACATACTGAGGCTTACAAACAAGTCTTTGGCTTAGCCGGACCATCTCAGCCAGATACGAAGAAACGCCGAATCAAAAGGAGTGTTCCCGATCCACCTGGTTCAACCCTTTCGACCGAGGACTCTCTTCATGATTTGAGGGAGAGTTGCCACTTTTCTGAAGATGTTGAGATACTGGTACCATCTTCTTACTGT